TAACTCTAACGTTTTTTTTCGACTCCATGTAATTACTAAATTGGTTTTAATAACTTACTACATTCAATGTTATTCGCTGTCTTGGGCAGCTAATTTAGCGTGATTCGCCGGATTAATAACTTACAAGACAAGAGTTTTTAAATGGGAATGGGAGCCTTGCATTTATACGAAGTCAAAGTTACGCCTCAATCAACAGCAATTGTTGCAGTCAGAGGCGGATCTAGGATTTTTTCGAGGTCGGTGGCGGGGGAAGGAGGCTGAACTTCAAAAAAAGTTTTCAAAAAAACTGGTCAAAGTCTAATGTAAATTTTTTTGTTTCATTTACACTTCCCTTGAGTTTTTTTCGCAGTTGTTGCATTGCTTTCCTTGATTGCATTGTTTTCCTTGATGATTCAGTAGAAAATAAGGACCAAATTTTTTGAGTTTTCATCAAAACAAACTTTTTCTTGTATCAATCAAATGAGAGATTCAGTTTAAAACCTTATAAAAGTTTGGAATGCCCGTGGACTAATGACTACTGTTGCTGAGGTAAAAGATGTGGGTGTCCTGCTGTATGTCGGGTGATCGAATGTCGTCAGTTTCTTGGGTAATTTTCAAAGTCAAAAATCAGCAATAACTCGTCGCAATTCATGTCAAAAAACTAGTAAATTTTCTGTGACAATTGATTGCTGATTTCGGTGTAGTTTGGTATAGTTGGTATGGAAAACTGCTAACTCGTAAATGGTGGTAGCTGTTTTTGCACCTTTACCGCGCTGATTTCTTTGTTAGATCAATCCGGGCACCTGCCTTTCAATACTTGTTCAGCAATAACATTTTTGCTTTGTGTTCATTAAAGAGATATAAACATTTTTATTTTCCTTCATATTTGGTTAGATTTTCGTTCAAATTTGCCAGACTGTTTTAATACTTTAATTTACTGAGCACTTTGAAATGCTTAATGTAAGCCACCTTTGTCTCGGTAAGTCTGGATTGTTGAAGGTTAAACGAGCCACTCGATGTAAGAAGGATTTGCTTTAGGGTGAAAAAGAATGTTTCAATTCAATTTTGCAGAGAATTTTTGTGCCCGACTATAAATTTATCAGGAAAAAGGGAATGATAGTTTATCAGCTTGGTGCTCTTTTCTATTTATAAAACCTCTTAGGAAGTCCAGGCTTTTACTATGGCATAAGCGGAGGAAAGCAATTGACGAAGAGAAGTTTGGAATTAAATAAATATTTTTGGAAGCTTGTTACTCGGGCTCTTTGGCTAACAGTGACTCTATCTGTTGAGTAGCTTTTTATTTGTACGGTTTTTTGTAAGTTTTTTCAACTGAAAAAGCCCACATTTTCAATCCAAATTTTGCAGAAAGCGGAAAATTTATACTTGGACATTTTTAAAATAATAATAGTGAATTATTTCCAGTTTTGGTTAACGTTAATCGGTACTCAATTTTAAAAACTTAGAAATTTGAAAACTTTGATAAGAATGTAAACACTATGAGAAAAACGCTACTATGAGGAAAGATTAAAATTTTAATTTTGTTACCTCATTTTTCCCTTTTATTGCACTTTCTAGAAACGTACAGAAAACGTTTTTTTTTTCATTTGGTGTCATTTTTCAAATCATTTTAAAAAAATCGAAAAAAAATTTGAGTCAGTTGAAGAATTTTTTTTCTGGTAACAACTGAGAACTTACGGTGTTTATTAGAGTTTATCACTTATTTCTGTACATTTATAAAACAGTGATGCAGTTTAAACAGTTTATAGGATGTGATCATTTTGTTTAAAGTCACAGACAGATTCACTTTCAACTCGAAAAATTTTATATAGAATTTAAGAGTTCGTATAATCGAAGCTCTTTTATCTGATATATTTTCATTTTTTCATTCAAACTTTTTTTGAAGTTTATGACTCTAGTTGATCTGTTGAGGTAAAAATCAATTGATCAGGGTTTGATTTCGAAGTCAAACAGTACGCCATATTGAATAACTGGTTTAACTTAAGTTTAGTAAAACTGGTTCAATTGGTATTATTCAGAATCATGCGCTGTTTACGAAGTAGTTCCACGTATTTTATTTAGCTTTCCCTTTGAGTTCCAGTTTTTTATTTTGATAAAAACTCAATTATTTGAAAACGGACTTTTGCTCTATGTCTTCGTTTATTTTATTCAGTTTTTTTCGATTTTAAAACGAAATAATTCTGACCGAAAAATTTATACATAAACTTTTAATTATATAAAAATTATATATCGGAGTTTAAATTTTAAAAAATTTTCACCTGTGATTGCTTTTCGCAGAGTTAAAGGGGTTTGAATGTTGATAATTTGCTCAATTTGGGCTAACTAACCAGCGATATTATGCAATCTTAGAACACGCGATCTTACTTGTTCTTAGTATAAAAACAGGCGCTAAACACGTCCCTTTGTATTTAATTTTAGCATGTGAGGAGTAAATTGAAATTAGAAATTGTTTTTTGGACTATTTCGTCAATTTGTTAATTTAAAAAAATATTTCAATTGGCATTAATTTGCAGTTGGAACATTCTAGGTTTTGCCTTGTTATACAAGCAGTGTCTTATGCTCTCAACTAGTTTCTTTGTTGCCAGTCAAAAAGCGTCATGGCATAATTGAGATCACAAACAGGTGTTTTATTACATTAGTTGGCGGGTTTACTGAGAACAAAGTAAAAAGTGTTCCCATTGGGAACAGAAGCAGGACCCTGTTTAGTGAACCGAATGCGTTTAGGAACGATACTAGCCAGTCTACAACATTGCAATTACAGGGTATTTATTAAACAATTCAGAATTTTTATTATTTAGCATTTTTATGAGGTACAAATACATAAAAAACTGCCTTTGAACTATTTTTTCAATGTTGTTATAACTATCGCTCTTGACTCATCTCCTGTAAAATCTGAGACTGGTTGGTACAGTGGCCAAAGCATCTGACTAAAGGTCCATATGCACCAATACGAATTGGTGTGAGAACCAACTTTTTTTCCTCAGCTTGCTGAATTAGATCATTCGGATCTGCCACTTTTCGTAAATTATCTCCACCAACCATTTAATTGAATTAAAAGAAATTATCATAGCCACCACTTTAACCCGCAGAGAAATTCGTTTAATTTCACACCATTTGAAATAGGAATTAAAAACCGCTATCATCAAAACTGTTTGCAATCTTAAGATTAGTTTTGATTCTTTTTGATAAGTAGTTTTTTTTTCAAATCGGCTTTGATGAAGTTTCCAGACAACCAGTTTCGGTTAAGAGATCCTTGTCTGTTTTGTTCTGTTACTTGCTAGTTAATCAATGGAATTGAAGAATTTTTTCGAGTGAATTTCTTCGCCCCATGGGAAAATCTCGAGAGTCCTCTTCATGCGAAAAGCATTCATTAGCCGCCCTGTCAATATGTCGATTCGATTTTTTGTAATAAATCCGTAAAAGTTGCCGTGAAATTGTGCTAATGAATATCATCATTATCTATATAAAATTTTATAAAAAAAGAGTTGCTTACGTTATTTTGTTTGAAAAACGTAGGCTACTTTGTGATTTTCTATCCAACTTTTCCGCTTTTGATTATTATATTTCTGACCATCAGAATTCCTATCCCGGTGGTAGTGAACTTCTCGCCTGTTTGAATTTCTGCTAGGTTGAACAATTTTCCCATCTAGACAGGAACTTGTCTCTTGGGGCTATGTTAGTTCCCTTTCTCAGATCGGGCGACCTAGAGTGCAATCTACAATTGCGAGACTAGCAGCTACAATTGATACCTGCCATTTAGCTAAAATCACAAACAAAGCAAAATCAAGCCAAAATACAACACAAAAAATATCCAAGGCAAAAACCCAGTCGAAAAAAAAACGAGATATATTATTTCTAAAAATAGAAAAAAATTATAGAAAACTAGAAAAAAAACTATGGTGACCGTAATGTATTTGACAGTTAATTTAAAATATTTGTCTTCCCCTTGGGGATTTGCAATAATTTTACTTTTTGTTCCGGTAATTACTCGTTTTTTTGATTTTTGGTTCAATTCAAACTATGCTCTTCATTAAGTTTTTGTTTGGTTCTTAAATTTTGATTGATTTACAATATTTACGTGGCGTTTAATTGGAATTTGGTAGGAAAGCGAAGGTTGTGATTTGATTTACTTGTGGGCAGTATAAATAGTCAACTAGGTGAAAATTGAGCAGATAATAAGTGGTTTTCAGTTGATTACTGATGCTTATGAATACTAACTGCTCCTGGTTAGTAGCTGCGACAGGTAGGGATTGAACATACCACCAATTGTGTCGTCATCGGGGACTGAACAAACCAAGTGTATAAGATGCAATTTATTTTCCAGTCCATTTTTCAATCCTTTCACTTCTTCGGTTTCCTGCCGTGCAAAAATGTCCATGTCCCCCAGTTTATCTCCGTACCAGTCCCGCGTTTATTTGCCCTCGACAACGGACACTAAATTTTCTCTTAACTAATATCACCGCTTTACATGTTTATAACCTCGCCTCTGTCGCAAAAGTCCCCGAGGTAAAGCTTCCCCTCACCTTTCTGCCTGTTAGCTGAAGTAAAGCTACTACTTTACCTATTGCTGATGATCAAACGTGAATGAACTATCCTTTGTTGAGTCTCAATCGTGAAATGTTTTCATCCGCTTATTAACCCAAATTTCGTATTCTTCTGTCTTAAAGTGTCATTAATCTGCAATGTTATAAACTAATATAAATCTTAATCTAAAATTTTTTTACTAATAATTGACATACAAAACTAGTATTCTTTTCTTAATTTCCCCCCAAAATGCCGCCAGCTAAAATCTGATATGAAGTATAGTCTTTCAATTGGTAACTTATCAGATTTTTAATTTGATCTTCAGCTTGATGGCACAAGTTACATTTAATCCCTCAATTTTGACGTGGATTACTTTATAATTAGACTCTTTTCATTCAACGGGCAAAATATATTTCCAGAACTCGATCGTTGCATCCTTGATTATAGAACAAGTTAGGTTATTTTATTTTATACAACAGGTGTCATGTCAACTTCGAGCACAGCTAATTCGTTAGTATCCACCGGCCGTAATGGTAGGCCTCCCGGAACGCCCAGTCACGTGAGCGAGCGGCGGCGTGACATGCACACGGCAGCCTTGTCCCGAAGTATGTACTCGAGCAGCAGCAGGTCTCTGCCCCCTCCCCCTCAGTGGCAGAGGAACAGGCTAGGCTGTGTGGGCGGGGCTAATAGTACAGTGGGTAGTATTGGTTCCCTTGTCTCCAATATGTCTTCTCTGAGTTTGCCCTTCATGATCAGCAGAAGCGAAAGTACAACTGTACAAATCAATGTGAGTATACTACAAATTTTAATTAAAAAAACTTGTGATATAATTTCTATTCGGATTCACCTAAGAAGGATACCGAAGAAATCTTTCTTTGACCGTTGTTACCCTGGGCATATATAAGGTCGAATTGAGTTGCTTTTTCAAGAATTAGCTAACAATAAGTTTTTTTTTCATTTGAGTTCAACAGTTTTGTGATTTTCGATTTTCGGAGTCGTTTTCTAAAGGAGGTTCTAATTACGCTTTGGGATGACTATATAGGACAAGTCGGAAAATTTAGCTCCGTTTCTACTTCTAACCTATCTGCAAGGAGTTTTCAAAGTTCCCGTTTAACAAAAGTAAAAATAACTTGAGTAAAAATAAATCACTACAAGATGATACAAGTTGATGGCTTAAGCTCAAATTTGAAACTATTTCTTATATTTGACCATTTTTTGTTCATTTACCTAAATTCACGTTCTGAAACCCTAATGGCTGAACAAACAAAAAAGGGTCCCATATGAGAAATATTTTTGAATTTGAGCATAAGTCATCAATATTTGCACTATGATAAGACGTATCACAATCTTAAACCAATGAATCCGTAATTGAAATGTAAGAAAAAAGAGTAGTAGGCTGCTGTGCAAAAAGCACAAAATGTTTCGACCACATTCATAGGCCCGAATTGTTTTCAGATTTCTATTCAAAACGATTTGAAAGGGAACTAACATATCAAAAAACTAATAGATACAATTAACGCGGTACACGAGGGAGTTAACGCATTTGTTTTTTAATATTACATGTGGGGCGGAGCTTTCAGAAAAACATTAAAATGTCCGCAAGCAAGTTTTGCAACCAAAAGTTTTTTAAACAATTTGAACATAAAAACATTTATGATAAAATTACACATCTATTTCACAGATGACAATTAATGGAGCCTGGGCGCAAAATGAGTTTTTTTTTGCACTATGACTGAGAATGTCGGATGTTCGAGGCCCACCATGATCCGTTCTCTTGCTTGAGGGTGAGGCAACATTACCCAACCCAGAAAAAGAAACAAAAAATATGCATGTAGATCTTAACCAGGCAGGGGCCCAACAGCGGTATCCATGTTCTCCGTGCTTCTCAGCTGAGCCCGTCTGTTGGTCCTTTCCCTAGTGGATAAATAATCTTAAAAAAAATAAAATTAACTAGAAGTTTCCAAAATGCATGTTTCTAGGCCCAGAATCACCCCAGCGGCTTTGGCTTCTCGCTCTACAGCTTCGAGAGCTACCCGAGCGAACCCCTGCGGACCCATCCAGTCATAGACTATGTCGAGCCAGAAGGACCAGCACAGCTGACAGGACTGGTTCACGCCGGCGACCGGGTCGTATCCGTGAACGATGTCAGCACTCTCAACTTGACCTTGAAGGCCATTAACCAATTATTAAAGGAGAATCAAGGAAGTGTGAGTTTGAGGACGGAGTTTGACGTCGCAGAGACTGTAGTTCCGTCCAGTGGGTGTTTCACAGTGAAACTGGCAAAGTGTGGAAACAGAATCGGCTTCCGACTTTACTGTTAGTTCAAACTTAGAACTCATTTAAATAAAAGTTCCCCTTTTCATTAAAAGTGTAGCCTAAAATTTTTTATTGTTTTTAAAAAACTGAATTATTGGCTTTTTTATGAATCGGTTATGACTGCTAAAAACTTCCCTGAAATAAACAATGCTAATGCAATTTTGCAAAATAGGAGGTAGAAAAAGAATAATATATCTAAACATTTCTTACTGTTTTTCAGCATCGCCTTACAGACGAAGTGGAGAGTGCCTGGTAATTCTTGAAGTGGTGCCTGGATCAGTGGCTCATAGAACTGGAACCATCTCGCCTGGAGACAGACTCCTCTCCATCAATGGAATCTCACTCGCAAACAAAGCAGTCGAAGAAGCCTACAACATCATGAGGTATGCATTTCTTGTTACATAGTCGTGTTTAAGCCCCATTTACTATTTCTAAACTAATTCGACCAATTTGTACACATTTTTGGTTAATAATATTGACTATTCAAATCTCAAACGGCAACAACATGGTCAAAGGCATCAGTTCCCGAAGGAGGCAGGGTCGTGTTTTTAGACCTATTCAGAGAAAATCGTGCCAACTAAAAATTTTGTCAGAAAATTGTTCTAAAATGCCCGTTTTTGGAAACATTCTGTCAGAAATTTAGGCCATAAGTTTTGTTTTCTCGGTGGAACACACCGTGCATAGTAACTTTCTTGTGACGCTAAGCTAAATTAATAAATTAAGTCTTTCGAATTTATATTTGAAGGTCAACGAAGGAGAATGTGGTGACGTTGTCACTAGAGAAAGACGACGAGTTCTCGGAGCATGGTCCGAATGCGCACAACATGTACTCGGTCGAGCTCAGACCCAACTCGGGCAGACTGGGCATCACATTGAGTGGGAGTGAGGAACCATTCGACCCCATCCTCATTGCAGCCATAGAGTCCGGATCTGTAGCCGACAGGTCAGCATCACTCTGGCTCTTTTTAACTCACCCCAAATACTCCCGCTACTTTTAATTCACCCCAAATACTCTGGCTACTTTTAATTCACCCCAAATACTCTGGCTACTTTTAATTCACCCCAAATGCTCTGGCTCTTTTTAATTCAACCCAAATACTCTGGCTACTTTTAATTCACCCCAAATGCTCTGGCTCTTTTTAATTCAACCCAAATACTCTGGCTCTTTTTAATTCAACCCAAATACTCTGGCTCTTTTTAATTCACCCACCTGCGACTTTTTAGTAGGCTCATAATGTCCGATTATAACATGGTAATTAGTTTAATCCAGTCATGTTTGTGCACACGTTTAATCTTCTAAAACCACTCGCTACACCAAAATGTTTGGGGGAAAAGGGCAAAACTGTTCATTTAGATGGGAAGAATAAGTTTTGAGCTCAGCTCTTTGCGTAAATCCGCTGTTGTGGCCTTGCTTTAGAGTTACATCAATTTTTTTGTGTTTTTTTTGTCGTCTGAGAATTTTAGTTCCACACTCAGCCAAGGAGATCAAGCAAAGACTATATTCCGACGCATTGTTGTTCCGACTATTGCATTTTATACAAGGACTGACGAAAATACCTAAGCTCTACTTTTTTGCTCAGATTCATTATCACAGCACGCCGAAAAAACGACAGCACACAAAGATAATTTTGCTGTCATTTTTTAAGACTGGTCGGAGCATTCTGTGCTGCTTGCACAGTAACCGGCTTGCCTTGTTTTCGATTGTGTTTTGCTTAAAATTCTGAAATGTGTTATCAAAAATCATTTTTAATAGTTTTCTCCAATAAGAAAATGCACTAATTAGTTTCACAATATTTTTTTCTTAACATTTATTGCTTTTTTTACATACTCTGACGATGATATCAAGTTTTGAAAACCCTTTTTCGAAAACTTGATCCCAAAAAAAGCTCAATGCTTCTCTTCGATAAATTTCTGTATAAAAGAAGATAAGCTGATGAACATTGCAATTGATGTATTTTTTCACTGTTTTCTACTAAAACTCGTTTTTTTAGGAACCGATGATTACTTCAGGATTGACGTTTTACATGGATTGACGTTTTTTTTTTCATGGATTGACGTTCATGGATTGACGTTACATATATTTTTTTTAGGATTGACGTTTTACATGTGAATGATCAACTTGTCGAAATATGTGGGTGCAGCCTTCGAGGTAAAACAGTGAAAGACGCAGTGTCCATGCTACAGAGAGCAAGAGGCTCGGTCCAACTCAAGATACTCCGCAAGTTCGACCACTCCCATTCCAACCAGGAAAGTGGCTTCTCATCCATGAAAAGTGCCCAGTCAGAGAGTCCTCAAGATGACGTGTTGTCCCAAGACAGTACTGTGTCTAGTCCAAATGACACCCCTAGGAAGAGGAGAGTCATGGATAAGTTGGGGGAGTTGAGTCAGGTGCATCATGGTCATGGGCATCTCAGCAATCACACTCACTTGCCCGTAAGATTTTTTAAACGTTCGGGTCGCTATCCTTAAAACAAAATTTTATTTTTGTTTGTATTCAATGCAATTAATGAAGTGTTCAAAACTAAGCTCCTGCATAATGATGCTCAAAAACAGAACAAAGTAAGAAATATCTATTTTTTTATATAGAAGCATTCACAAGAAACCGAAGAAAGAATACGAACCGTTTTTCAGTAAAGAAAAAGAAACGCTGCATAAACATTTCTTGAAGAATTGTTTTTAGGAACCAATAATTGTGAACGGAAATTTGATCACACCCGAGCGACTGAGCAACGGAAACCACGACTCATCCCTCCTCGCCAGCACAACCCCCCAAAAGATGTCATCTCATACCTCCTACTCCGAAAAACCGAAGACTAACTCGACTCTCTCACGAATAAATACAATGAGTTCGGATAAAACCCGAGGTAGTGATTCGTCGAACCACGAGAGCGGCTCGAACGGAAGTTCGACTACGGAAGTGAAACGAATCAGTTTGCAGAAGAGTGCGAAGTATAGGGATTTTGGATTCAGTGTTTCAAACGGAGACGGGGGCTCAGGAATCTTCATCAACAGTATCAGACAAGGAGGGTTGGCTCAATCAGGAGGCTTGCTCCCCATGGACAAGGTATTACAGGTGAGGCTTTCATTTTTGATTGTTGTATTCATCTTATTCTAGAATGTCCGTTAATGTGAGAGCTTCTTTTTAAAATGCCGTTTTTTAGCCTCTTCAGATCATTTTGAAAAAGAACGTGTTTCGCACCATCCCTTATTTTTAGTATTTCTTTGCGTCTTGAGGAATATTTTACGGTCTGTTAGTCGATTGAAATAGTGCCAAAGGGGACTTTTTGGTGTTATGGGGGGGGGGGGGGAGTAGTATTGTATCGTGTCCCGGATCCTAAGGGGGGGGTCCTTCCTAAGGGGGGGTCCTCACGTAAAGCAAAATCCTAGGAAAGGGGTCCTTAATTTTTTGGAGGACCCCTATCCTAGGATTTTGTAAATGATCGCAAGTTCCCACCCCTAAAGTAAAAGACCCCCTCCTTAGGATCTTGTTAAGCTGAGCTCAACAACCGGGACGCGATACAATAATTCCTTCTAATTCCTTTGAAAGCGGTCTCTTTTCCCGCGATAATTAAAATTAATCGTCCTAATTCCTGAACTTTTCTTTTTTCGTCCTAGTTTCATGTGGATATCATTTCCTGGCTTTCTTTCTTTTCGTCAAAGATTTGTCATGCTATTAAAGTTTATTATTCAAAACAAGCCTAAGGATTTCACACATTTGTTTGAATTAACACTTGGTTTGTGTCTACTAGTTTATTTGCCTGAAGCTATTTATGTTAAAACAGTGATTGAGCTCAATACGAGTATTTTATTAGTTGTAAATTGGTAAAAACCAAAACATATACAAGTCGAAGTATAAAAAGGACGAAGAGTAAAAATCATCTGAAAATATATGTTTCAGACTTTAATGTTTATTGTTTTGGTTTTCTTTGCGGTGTTTTTTAGATGGTCGTTCTTCTGAAGCTTCAGATAAAATAAATGGGTTTTTTATAGGGGGACGTTCACGGACTCGGCTACTAGAAGCTTCTTCTTCTTCTTGCAGCTCTGCTTCTGAGTAGGGTCGCTGTAAAAATCCCCAATCCGGGAGTGTAAAATCGGGAGAACTGTTATCAGTTTCATTGTATGAGTTGGCCCACTCGGTGTCCATGTAAATGTCTTCTAGAAAAGCATTTTCTTCAGCGGCTTTATGGCCAAAGGGCACTGTCGAAATTCCGTCGAAAAGTAGAAAACGTTTTGAGTCGAATGGTGATAATGCAAGTTTGTTTTGTTTCACTGTCATATTGGTGTGACCTTTCGAAACTATATTATAGTTGTATACTCTCATTGTTTTTCCAGTGAATAATGTGTCCCTGAAGGTTTGGTGGACCAGTTCTCTCTGTGCACTCCGTTTAATTCCTTTGGCACTCAATTTTTGAGTGCCTTCTAAACAATAGCAAAATTATTATTCTTTTCTACAACGTTGGGGATAGCTTCATTTCACTTCAGCAACTCAATTTATACCGAACAAAATTTGATTCATTTTACCAAAAAAGAGCAGAAGACTCTAAATTATGATTAAAAAAGAGGAAACAAGAGGGAATATGTTGTCAGATAAATCAACGTTTAGGCAACATTGTATAATGTTGCCTAAATCAGCTAAATGCCCATAGTTTAATGCAACAAATTAAGGGGTGTAGGTAGGTTGGTGGTGGTATTTTTGTTCTGTAAAAGGTAGGAATGGGGGGTGGAAGGGTGGCTTAAATTTTATTTACCATTAAGGACGACCGAATATAGTTTCGGTTTTAGGGCGATGAATTCTCTGATCGGCTTCCCACCAGTCTCGTCTTTGAACTTCAGCACAACTTTCTTGTTGGTATCCTCGAACAAGAAATGGTCCTTATCGTAATTTGAAAAGTCGAAATCAGCTTTTATTTTCTCCAAGTCTCGGTAAACGTCATCAGTTTTTATGGCGTAAATAAAACTATCCGTGTCGGAGTAAAGGAGTTCCAAGTTTAGATTTGGTTTCATTTTTTGATAGTGAAACTGAAACATGAAACGCTTGGCGAGGTCTAGGATGGTCGCACCAACTATCATAGGTTTATCCCACAATATTTTTGTTACTGAAAAGCTAATTGTGGCTAATTGATCGTCAATGATTTGAAAGCTTTTCATTGTGCTCAGAGCTGTTTTTTGTAAAAGTTCTCTCTCATTCCTTACAATCTCCAGCTTCTTTCTTCCTAACTTAGACTCCATTGTCTTACCGAAAGCTGAATTAACAATTAGCTTGTAGAAGTTCTCCTGGAATTTATTTACCGCGGCTTTTCGTAGGCGGGTGTTGAGGTCGACAAAGGGTGCCATCCAGTGACTTTGGCGGAACTGAAGAACTTTTCCGAGGTGAGTTATTTTCATTCCTAGCTCATGGTACAATTTTAGGGTAAGGTAGTGCAAAACATAACCTTCTTTAGGATGCAAGGTCTGTAGAAGCTTTGGCACTTTTGGCAGTGTGGTGATTCCCAATTTTCCCAACATGTCGACTTGCTCGTTGCTCATTGCACCGATGTCCACTACTTCACGAGAGGGGGCAAGGGGGTAATCAGCAAAGAAGTCGTGAAGCTCTTCGGGTATGGTTAAATTGACTTCAACTATATAACCCCATTCTGATGTTTCGCTGGTGAGCAGTATGTCTGCCAGACTTTTTTCAACTATTGAAAAATCGTTTAAGGGCAAAGGGCAGTGTTTCATTATCCCCCCGTACAAATTGTTTGCATCAATATTGAGGATGTAGCTTGATGGTTCTGAGGGCGAAAAATCGTCGAGGTATTTATTGTTTGCTTTGTAAAATCGGCGCGCGTAAATCGACGACATGCCTCCTCGTATCATTCGCTGCACAAGGTCTAGATGTTCACGGTCCGTTAAGAGTTTCAGTTCGGGCTTACAAACTTTTAGAAAGGCGTCCCCGGAAAGGTTACTTGCCGTGAAGTAACAGGCGCAATCCAGCCCGTATGTTTGATAGCAAACTTCACGAAAAGCTTCGAAAACGGAAGCAAGCAATAGCACATCTGTAGTCAAGTACAAGTCGTGGTAATCACCAAGTGAGCCACACTTCAGTTCGGTGAAAACTTTAAGGGCATGATTGTACTCGCTTCTTGAAACACTCACATCCCCTCCTGTTAGACTATTTTTCCACATTGCTCGTGGGGGAAGGCGAGTTTCTCGGAATTTTTCGAATGAGTTGAAGTATGAGTAGGGGTAATGCCCTTTCTGTTTCAACAGACTGACTTTTTCACGTGAGTGGCCGAGTTTTTCAAAATAGTTCTCCAGCAGAAAAAACTTTTCGTTGGGCAAATTATCGACAAGTTTTGCCAACGATGCCAGCATGAACCTATACGAATCGATGAATCTCAGATTTTCGTAGAGTTTTTTGATTTTTCCGTTTTTGTCCGTGTACGTTTTTATGTAGACTGAGATTGTCAAGGATATATATTTTTCTTCAGATGCGGGTATTACGGAAAAAGTGTTTTCCGAATCGCTTTTTGCCAGCGCTTTGATTATAAAGTGTAAATCATAATTTGACAAATTATGAGCTACCACTGGAATGTAATTTGTTGTTTTTCTATTAACGTTACACTCATTGTGTGCCCAACCCAGAAACTTGTTGGTGTAATGGCAATGATCAAGTACCACTTGATCATTGTCGGAAAAATCATTCTCGCATATCCAACAAATTGTAGCATCTTCCCGTTCCTGGTCTGTTATACCAGTGAAAGTGTAATATTTCCTTTTTTCTACGTAAATTTGTCTCGCTAACGATTCAAGGGAGCTAATTAGCTCTTCCATCACATTCGGTCCTCTTTTAAGCTCAAACTTTAACAGGTCTTTTTTCTCAAATTCGATTACTGCTAACGCGTAGCCGCACGGTTGATGGATTTCAATTGTTTGCGTGCTAGATTTTCGCGGATCAGGTTGCGGTCCGTATACTGGTAAGAGCAGTGACTCCAAATCAAAGTAGATTACTCTGGGTACGTACCAACGAGCTGTTAAGTTTTTGAACTTGTGGTCATCTTTTCCCGGCTTGGGCATTGTTATGACGACATCTTCGTCTTGGTAGCACAGTTCTTGATGTCTTCTCAAAGTTTCGAATGAAGCGCATGTGTGGAAACATTTGCGACAAATCTCAGATTGAAATCGGTGCACTTTGTGCCGCACGTACTCGACCAGTTTCTGGAGATCACTTATCAACACATAGTGATATTTTGATCCATCTGTCAGCAGCAACAAGTCCACAATCAGGCTAGTAGTGAATCTGCTCGATACTCTTATGGGCAACAATTCGCCATCGTTGTACCTGAACAGAAAAATAATTTTTATACCTAGGTTTGAAATGAAATAAAAAGGGTGTTTGAATAGGTGAAGAACATTATTGAAGGAATTTTAAAATTTTTAGAAGGAAATTAGAATTTGCTTACCGGAAGACGTTGATTTGACAATTGTTCAACTTTTCAAATCTGTCCATATCCATCAGACCCATTGGCATTTCGTATTCCCCATTGATTTTCACAATTCCTTCTTTGTCGAGATTGTAGGTTGAGACTTTGTTTTTCTCCAGCCACCGTCTAGATGTGGGGTAGAGGGCCGGCTCATTCACATTGTGATATGCGGCAACAAAGGAGTAGAGAAAGCAACGGTCATCATCTTTAGTGTTGATATTTGTGAGCAGAGTAGATGCTGCGCTGAGTGCATCAGGTAGCTCGAGGTAGGATCCTGCTCTTATTGGTGAGAAGGCCGCGAAACTGATTTGCAATTTTTCAATTCTGTCAATAATCCATCCGCTACCATGAGAAGAGAACGAATTGACTTGGTTGACCATATGTTCAATCAGTTCCAAGAATTGAACCCCAGCTATTCCCTCGAAGTACACTGTCAATGTCTTAGTGTTCAGAAACAGCATGGTCCTTTCGAAGTTTCCACTGTCCCCGTCTTGCACAGTGGGAATTTTGATCATTCGCACTTCCACATGGAATTGCACCTTGTTCGGACCCTCTTTGACCCTTTCCAGTATAAGAGCATCTATTTCCTCCTTGTTTTGCATCATGACTT